GGAGCCCAGGTAAAATAGCTTTTAGAGAACCACCCCACTTTCATTTCTTAGCATATCTGTAAAATGTGTTATATTTTCTTTCAAGTGGACATAGACTTCCAGTGTAGTAGTGACTGTGGCTACCGGGGACTTTTATTTGGAGGTCTCAAAGCATAATCCAGTAAGCAGCCATTCTGTTTCAGTTCAGTGAGGTGTACTTAATGTCATTAGTTGTGGAAAAGTGACTTCTACCTGCAGTTTTCAGATATTGATGAAGAGCAATGGATGTAATAGAGTACTAAAATAAGAATCAGTCACTTTTTTTTTTAATCAGTGCCATGTAGCTCAGTAATATCCTTCCACACAAAAAATAAGTTATATTAGCATTGGAAAGAGGGCTACTACATCTGGGTCATCTCTCTAAACCTCCACAGACTCTTACTGAAATATAATTACTGAAGATAGAGACAATGGTATCAATATGCTACTGAATTTGGAGCAGGTTGTTGAAACTTCAACAAGTCCTGAGTCATATTCCCTTTAAAGTTTCATTTAAAGTCAATCACAATGATTAATTACTGGTGCAAGTGATGAAAAAAAAAATTAGCCTTTATTCTGGGAAGTTGGACTAATATTTAACTATTATTCTGCCAAGAGACTGCACCTTTGTGTAAGCTGCTTGATAGTTAGAAAAAAAAGGTGTTTTTTTGTTTTTTTTTTTTTTTCTTTAAACACACCCTGGATAAACAAATTGCTTTGAACAAGAAACGGAAGCTGCAGGAATATAACGTTGTGTTTGTCTTGGCTTGCTATTGCTGCATTCATGAATATTTTTCCTACCATTCTTTAAAATTAATAATGCTAGTGTAGTTCTCAACAGATACCAGTGATGATTTTTGAAGGCTTTAGGCACTTCCTGAATATTTTATGTACTTTAAAAGGGCTTTCTTTAACTTCCTGATAAAGGCTATTGCCATTTTCATATTTATAAAAAAACTCCAAGTCCTCAAAATATATTTAAGGTGATCCTACACTTAAAATAGAGAGTTGGGAAAACAATTAAGCATTTGGCTAATTTTTAACAGCACCTGTGAAGAAGGTAGTGAAATATTTTAAATACAAAATTGTAGAGGTAGATAATTATTTACAGTTCATGTAGGGAAGCAAATGAAAAGAATGTATTTGTTTGTTCATAATAAAGTGGTTACCAGCTTCACACACAGCCCTTGTGGAATTGAGTATTTCTCAATAGTATTAGAAACAACAGAATTGTTTCTACAGAAAAAATGAAGTGTTCATACAACTAGTTTATTTTTTACTTATTTAAAAATATTCAACTGTTCAAAATAAATAAGGTCTACAAAATATACACATCTATATGCGCTGTGAGTGCCCCCTAGGAATTTTTATACCTGTTACTCAGTTTGAAAAAGAGAAGTTGACCAAGGAGTGGCAGTCTCAAAAATAATGTATGCTCTTACGTTTCAGGAAAGAGAGGTAGTTGAGTAAAAGAAATATGTTAATATTGGCAAACTCTGCTGAGAGAATTATGGCAATATTATTGAGGAACACCTATGAATCCAGAGAGAAGCAGAATATTATTAATATTTCAGCTGCAGTACAAGCCTCAATCAGATAAAATAAAGCTTTGTTACTGTCACTGCTCCTGTAACTATTTCATTTCGTTTTAAAATATATATATATTTGTTTCTATACAAAGATTCTGGAAGCTCTGTAGTTTTAAGCTTTTTGAACACAGTAACCGAAGAGAAACTAGAATCAGGATGTGAAGGAAGGGGTTGGTTTTTTAGCTAGAGACCTTGCCTCCCACAAAAGCGTTATCTTGTTTCCCCGTTGTGTCGGGCTGCCTCGCCATCAAGCTGCTGCACGGTGGAGAGAAAGTGTTAATTTCTCGCCTAGACAAGCTCTAAGGGGCTCTGCTGCAACTCGCACTTCTGTTGAGAAAATGCCACACGCTGAGCCAAGTTCATTTGTATTTGAACTCCATTGAAGCTAATGGGCTTTCCCTGGGGATGAAGACGGTTTCTTGGAGCTAGGTATAAATGAAAGAAGACATCAATAAGGGGAGCTAAGTTATGGTTGAAATAGAACATGAAACTGTTTATTTTGAGGTCAGGAGATGTTTTTCTTTTTTCAGCTTATGTTGGCCTGGAAAGAATTTTATAGCTCGGGATATCCATACCTTTATCTAGGCTGAATAATAAACTATGCACTGGGAAGCACATGCTTCCACACTGGATAGCTTCCTCCAGCCCACTGCTGCTTCAATCTCACTCTTGCTAATCTGTCTATTGATTAAAAATTTATAATAATTTCAGCCTTTCTTGCCTTAGCTGAAATCTTTTTTTGAGGAAAAAAAAATTCTAACACTTTCTTAGTTCTCAAGCTAAAGTCAGTAGTGATATATGTGTTAACCAGCAACCAAAATGTATTTAAGAGCTTGCTCTTGCCCGAGCACATTTGACAGTGGGCCATCAGCTGAAAATTTTGGCAGGGTCAGCCTTCAAGTGTGGTAGTGTCTTAGGCTGCAAGACTCCAGGCTTCTTTCCTAAGTTTTATTTATGCTTTAGTACTTTCTCAGTTCTCCCAGAATTTGTGCTGTCTGCCTGTCTTTGGGCTGCCAGAGCACCCTTGCTGGGAAACACAGCAGTGGCACAGAGCACTCGTGCTCAGCACTGACATTCAGATTCATTTGATGTCCCTAAACATCTTTATGCTCTTATTCATCTTCTCTATGAAGAGTCATTGAGTGTTTCCAAAAAGCTGTCTCCTAGGTCATGGAACACAGAAATTAGGAATGAGAAGGGAGTTTAGGGTTAGCCATACATCAGGACAGAGCTCTGAAAACCATCTTTTTCACACTTCTATAAATTGGAGCCTTTTTGAACTGATGCCTATGTTGAGACAACATAAGCTGATCCCTCTTAGGTGATACCCAGTGCAGAACATACCTTTCTCAATATGCCAGATGTAATAAAGTGCAACATTTCAACTGAGATTATATATAGACACCTGTGTGTATAATTGCCTTATTCAGACTTCACTGTTGGACAAAGCGATGGCCATGACATTTCCTTAGGGACCTTCTAGCAAATTCAAGTAGAGATGCAAGCATTCATCTGAAAAATTCATCACACAACTTCAGATTGGTTGGCATCAAACAGAGACAAAAATAAGTATCAAAATGAGTGGCCCTCAAGAAGAACTTGTGCAGGGTGCCTCTGAGCACGCAATGTCATACAGTGTGTGGGAACCTGTATACAGCTACTCCTTACTTAGAGCATATGACCTGGGCCTGAGAGCACATATGATTAATGGTACCAGCTGGAAGATGCTTGTAAACTCACCCAAAGTTCACTGTATGGAAAAAGTAACCAGCTGATGATGTTTTGCTGCAATGTGGCATCAGGAGACAGCAAGTTTCCTGCTTGAATACTATGATGACAGAGAAGTGGTGAACAAAGGAGTTGTGAATTGTGAGGATGTGCTAGTAGTTTTTTAATAGGTAACCCACAAAAGGACAGTGGGAGGTGTATCTCCTTCAGAAATGCTGGTGGGAAAGGTCTGCCATTCAGAGGGAAATGGAGCAGTTCTCCCCCTTATCTATTTTGATTTCCCCCTGAGAATTAAGTTGCTAGCTTACCTACAAAGCAGGAGCAAGAGACCTCTAATCCTCCTAAACTCAGAAAAGAGCTGTGCCTCCCTCCAACTGCATACAGTGTGCAGCTTTGGTAAGGGTGCAACGGGCTTGGAAAAGGAGGCTCAAAGCATCAGGACAAGATGGTCATGATGAAGGAAATACCCAAGGCATAACTACAGCAGCCACCTGCAGCTGGAGAGATCAGAACTGGGGTTGGAGAGCACCTCCACTCCAGTTCAGGATTTGTCATGAGACCTTCACAGGTAGATATCCCAGGGCTGTTACCAAGCATGCTGAGGAAATGACTCTTCTCTGAAATGCCAAAGGGTACTGCATGGGCAAGGGTGGCTAGACACACAGCTCCTGTTCCCACCCACCAGGCTGGCAGAGGGAACACCTTATAGAATCACAGAACCACAGAATGATTTGAGTTGGAAAGGACTCTCATAGATTATTCCATGGAGAGGGACACCTTCCACTACACCAGGTTGCTCAAAACCTCATCCAGCCCAGCTTTGAACCCTTCCAGAGATAGGGCATCCACAACTTCTTAGGCAATCTGGTTCCAGTGTCTCACCAAACTCACTGCAAACGATTATTTCCATGTCCAACCTAAATCGACTCTCCTTCAGTTTCAATTCAATGCCCATTGGTCTATCTCTACAGATAAAAAAAATCCGTCCTTATATTTCTTATAACCCCCCCTTTAGGTACTAGAAAGCTGCTTTAAAGTGTCCTCAGAAGCTTATGTTCTCCGGGCTGAAGAGCTCCAACTCTTAGTGTTCGTAGGAGAGATTATCCAGCCCTCTGGTCATCTTTGTTGCCTCCTCTGGATTCACCCCAGAAGATCGCTCTTCCCGGGAAGGGGTGTCGTGGTCAGGGGCGACCCGCGGACCGCGCGGCTCCGAGGAGGAAGGAACCCGGCACTGTCCCCTCGGGGCAGGTGCGGGGGCGGTGACGGGGGCAGGGGGGATGCGGGGCAGGGCAGACGCGGAGGCAAAGGCGGGATCACGGATCCGCGCATCCGCCGCCACCGCCCCCTCCCGGCCGGGCAGCGGCCGGGGCGGGGCCGGGGCAGGCCGCTGCTCCGCCCGCCCCCGGCGGCGGCGTCTTTGTGCCTGCCGCCCCAGCACCGCGGGTCTCCACCTGGCCTCGCCCCGACCCTGCTTCGCTCGGCCCCGGCCGCCGACGCTGCCGCTGAGGGGATCAGCGGGTCAGCCCGCCCTCGCCCTGCCGCGGGGCTTCCCCGCCCCCTCCCCGCCCCCTCCCCGCCCCACCGCCGCTCTACCCCGCCTCGTCCCTCTGCCCCCGGTGCGGGTTACTCGCGGCCGCCACCCCGGCTGCCGTGAGCCCGCGGTGCGGCTGCCGCCCGGAGCTCCCCCGCCGTCGGGGATGGCGCGGCCGGCAGCGCCCGTGCGCGCCTGAGGCGGAGGGGCGAGCCCGCCGCCGCCGCGGGAGGAGGAGGGAAAGGAGGAGGAGGAGGAGAGATGAAGCGCTTCCAGCCCGGGGTCGCGCTGCTGCTGTCGCTGCTGTGGGAGGTGAGGTGGGCCGTGTGGGGAGCGCTGCCCTGCCCGGCGGCGGCCGCGGCAGCGCCGGGTTCACCCCGCGGGTCCGCCATCGGTCGCGACCTGGACCTGCGCGGCTGGCGGAGGGGAGCTGCAGCCCGCGCCCAGGCGGGGGGCGTGCGCGGAGGCGATTCATGTTGGGTTCATGTCTTCGCCGGAACGGCCTCGGCTCCACGGGCGGTGCGCGGTCAGGAGTGCGGCGGGGCCGCGGGGCCGGGCTGCGCGGGCCCCGGCGCGGCTGCGGGCGCCGTGGTCACGGGCGTTCGCGGCGGCCGGGCTCGCCGCGTGTCCGCGGTCTTACTGCTGGAGCAGAGGAAGATTATCCGCCGTGTGATGGAGCGGAGTAACGCGGGACCTATACGCAGGGGCACAAGCTGCTGGAAGCTGCCCATTCCCAGCAGAGTGGCAGGCTGTCCAGGGGACGCAAAGCCTGCGCCAGTCAGTAAGGGTTAGACGGAAGGCGCGTCTCTTATTTTCATTATTCTCTTATTTGCATTTCGTGGGCAGTGTCCATTGCGAGGTAGGTAGGGGGGCAGCGGTTGTCAGCTCCCGAGGAGCCGGGCGGCACCGTGCAGCGTGGTTGAACTTTGGGAAAACCTGGATAGCGCAGCTTTCGTACTTACAACAACCAAACAAACAGTGAACTAGGAGCTTTCATTAATTGCAGGGCGGATTTGCGCTACGCAGTTCCAGACGCATGGAATAGTTTGGATTGGAAGACACCTTAAAGATCGCCTAGTTTAAACCTCCCTCCCGTGGGTTGGGATGACACTGGATGAGTGGGTTGGGAAAGCAGCTCTTTTTTTTTTTTTTTTTTTTTTCAGCAGGCAGATGTTTTCTGGGGGCGAGACGTTTTCTCTTGTCTGTGGTTTAACCTTCGGGCTGGGGACGGGCAGGGGGGCAGCAGCACCCCCGAGCCGGAGCATGTGCGGCTCCCGGCGGCAGGCTCGGCAGCGAGCTGGAGTCACCGCCGGGACACGTGCGGTGGCAGCGTGCCGGGGTGACTTCGGAAACACCCGTGGGCTTCTCTTAGGCACATCTCTACGTTCATGAAACCCAGAAGCAATGTAGCTGAAAGTGTCCGAGAGGTGAAAGAGCTATGTTGCCTCTGTGACAGAGCAGTTTAGACAGGACATTAATTAATTTTTTTTAAAAAACGGCATGCCACCAAACTCCATATATGGAAACCAGAGTGCTGGCTGTGTAGCTACTAATTTTGGTAATGGATATAATTAATGAAAATGATGTTTACTACATGTTTATGCCACCTACGTGGATGAATGATTTCTGGTGTGTTGCCCACTGTGCCATCCAGCATCATCCCATTAAAACACTCAGATCAAAATCATTGCTTAATGTAAATAAGCATAACTCTTTACAGGTTAATTGATTTGCATCTCTTTTCCCTGGCTGTAAACCTAGCCTTGGTTCTGGCCCTTAATTGCACTTGACTCCACAGCAGCTCTTCAGAAAGCAGGAATAGCAAAATGTCGATTAAATGAAACAAACACCACCATTTCCCCAAGGGATTGTGTTCATCTGAGACACTGAAAGGTTTCACCCCTCCAGGATCCCTTTGATTAGATGTCTCTGCTCTCTTAACGTGTATTCTGCTGAAAAAGATCATTCCTGACTGAAAAAAGTAATTTGCATAAATCCTCATTGGGTCTAGCCAGTGTTGCTGTTATTTAAGCTTTTGTACTGGTTTTAATTGTGGGTTTTTTCCCCCTTTTTTTTCTTTTAATCTAGAATGTTTGTTTTGCCATCTGGTTTTGTGGATTTTTTTTTTTTTCTCGGGAGTTCTTACATTGCCTATTAAAATGAGATGCTGTGTAAATAAGGCTGTATTCTACATGCCCAGAAATGGGGTGCTGGGGGTTTAACAAACTTAATCGGAGACATCTGGTTGCTTTGAAGATTTTTGGTGCATGAAACTTTTGATGTCTTCTGGACAAAGTTCTGCACTGGATATTATCTGAAATAACATTGTTGCAATCGTTTTAAATCTGTTTGCAACTCCAACATGATCTTAGTAATTACTGAACAGAGCTGAGAAATATGGTTTTCATTCATCAATTTGCAAAAGGCTCTGACTGTTACCCAGGTACTGTGGGGAGGAACCCATTTAGTCTGCCAGGGCACTATGCAGTAGTTTACCGATTCCAACTATGTTTTCCCTGGGTAGATTACCCAAAATACTTGTAAAATATTTATGTGTTGTAAAACCACTATTTATGATTATATTGATGAAAGGAATGAACTTGACAATTAAGTATACATCAAGTTCATGCTGGGTGTGAGTTTGGGTGTGGGGAGTGTGTGTGTTCGTATTTTCAGACTGAAGTCTAGTCAGTAGCTGGCTGTGGCAGTCTCTCCCACGAGGAACTGAGGGTTTGCTGTTCCTGATGTAAAGGCAGAAGATGCAGAAGAGGGGCTTGAGGGGCAGGGGCATGTGCTGGTGGGTGGTTTCATGAAGGTGACAAAAGGCATCAACATCAAAGCAGGATTTACACATAAGAAATTGCTGGCTCTTGGTGCTGAAATACCTCTCCTTATTCTAGACAAGCTTGAGATGCACTAATTACAGAAACACCCAGACCAGTGTGATGGTGGGAGAAGGGAATTAATTTTGAGTTTTCTTGTGTGATGAGGGCTTTTTCACTGCAACCACAAAGACCATGGTAGTAGAAAAATCTCCAGCCTCAAGACCCAGAAAGCTCTCCTCTGAGAAGACATTATTAGGGGAGAAAAGCTAAAGATGTCCTGTGTTTTGCTCATGACTTAATTGCAGTTGAACAGCTTAACAAGTAAGGTAAAATGAGGTGGACAATTTGACAGGTAATTTTGGTTCTTGCAGGAAGAAATGAAGACTGTTGAATCTTTATCTGTCTTTTTCAAATTAATTTGACTACTTGGAGATAGCAGTGTGTTATTAACTTCAGTTATTTGAAATGCCCTTTTTCACCAGGAGCCTGGATGACTGGTGTACTCACAGTACTGACATCTATGATTTCTTCACTCACAAATAACCAGTAGTCTTGCTTGCTAGCTTGGCTCGTGGTTCTGTCAGCAGAACTGTATTTTGTCTCAGTTGGCTCTCAGTTTTATGGAAAAATTTGAGGAGGTCCTTGAAGTGATGACTGTTCGGGGCATATATATCAGTATTTTCTGCTTCTCTTTAATCAGTGATCCCAAGGGCTTTGGTTGTCTGAGCTTAAATATGACTTTAATGAATAGTGATGTCTTTGGAATAGGCAAAAAATAAAACTAAACAGGCAGTCCCCCCACCTCCTGATAAAGCAAGCTTATTTTCAGCCTGAATGAGGGCACCAGTGTCTCTGTGGGGCTTACATCTCAGACTGAGTGCTTACTTTCTCTCTCACAAGCTGTAGCAGTGCTGGATGGAGGAGAGCTCAGCAGCTGAAGCTCAGCTCAAGGATGGGGAAGCTGAACAGAGCTGTTGCAGGCCTATAGAGGACCCTATCTGTGCTACAGTGGTAATAATGGTGTTTTATTGTTGCTGCTGCAGAGAAGCTTGCTGGGTAGCCTCAACTTTCAAAACTATCAAATAATTTTAGATGCCTACACCTCTGGTTGGCTCCTATGTTGTATCCAGGAGAGTCTAGTGATCAGTAGAGTCCTCTTGTTAATTTGTCAGATGAAAGATACTATGCAAGAGTCAAGTGCCTTTTTTAAAAAGAACAAGAAAATGGACATGTCATAGGAATGGCAAAATGTGTTGTCTTGAAAGAAAATTCAAATACTCCCGACAGTCTGTCATACAAGATTTGTTTTAGTAACAGCAAAGTTGGCTGGTACTCCTCAGTTGGTTAACTGCTGTATTGAGCTTTTTATTATTATTCTTGTAAGTGGGCTTCAACATGAAAGATTTTATCAAATCAGAGAAACCAAAAATTTCTGTCCTTCCTGAAGAGGTTTGTTTCTAGTTTTTCTTTGACTGTTTGTGTTTTGGGTTTTTTTTTGGTTTTTTTGGTTTTTTTTTAGTCTTTGTAGGAACGAGAATGTTAAGATGAGGAAACCCACCAGTCTTAAAGAAAAAACCTACATTTTAATAATTTTTAAATTATTAGGTAGCACAGTTGGAGTTCAAGAATTTGTGAGGACTGCTACATCCTCCCCTCTCCACCCATTTCTGGTATTTTTTTCTATCCATTAGTGGTCAGGTTTTCCTTTCTATAAAGTACTGTAAAAGTGTATATACCCTTGAGTGTACAAATGTGCATGACACCAGTGTTGTTGTCTCTGTGATGTCCCTCTCTGTGGAATATGGATACTGCCCTGTTGATGTTTTAATTCATGCTCTTTCCATGGGGGTTGGGGGAATAAGGGGAAAAATCTATCCCAAAAATTCTACTACAGAGTTGTTAGTGTAGATGTGGCCACTAACCCTCTCCTACTTTTTAGTTTTGGTTACATAACAGATTTAGCTGCTTAAACAGTTTCTGGTGTTTTTTATCCTTTACCCTTCTGCAGCTGGTTGCAAAGCAGCTATTGCATTGCTGAGGGAAGGCAGGAAAGAGCTTTTTTACGATTTACAGTTTGGAGATCCAACTGGTGCTGGCAAGCCTTCCCTGCCTTTGACAGCAGCGAGATGGGCTGTGATTTCCAGGCAGCAGGACTGAGCTCACACACTTTTCTCACTCTGCTCCTGCTGAGGAGGAGACAGATTTGTGTTGGTTGTGGGTAGGGAATGGGTGGCCGACTGCCATTTGCATCCTCTAAGTGGAGGTGCAAATGGGGTTTTTTGGGCTTGGTTGGTGGGTTTTTTTTTTGTTTGTTTGTTTGTTTTTTTTGTTTAAATTAGAAAAAACATCTGTAAAATCTGTTTGTATTTTCTTATGGCAGTCAAAAATATTTAGCACTTTCTGTTACGCTTTCTTCATAAAAGGGAAGTTGTCTATTTCCTCTTGCTACTTTCCACTCAGCTAATGCAGGTGGCTGAAAGGTTAAAC